ATTTTGTTATTTTTCCATTCTGGTTTTCATTTCCATCCATTGTTTCCTTCCTTCTGCCAGCTTGGGGTTAACTTTGTTCTTTTTCTACTTCTTCAAGATTTAAAGTTAGGTTGTTGATTTCAAATCCTTCTTCTGTTTGATGGAATCATTTATAGCTATAAACTTCCTACAGAGCACTCCCTTATTTACTGCAAACCACAGTTTTTTGTGCTGTGTTTTCATTCATTTACTTTTCAGGATTTTCTAAACTCTCTTGTGATTTCTTCATTGATCTATTGGTGTTTAGTAGTATGTTGCTTAACATCTATGTACATTTTATGAGTTTTCCTTCTGTTTTTATTTCTGTCTTTCCATTGTGGTTGGAAAAGATATTTTATATGATTTTAATGTTTTAAAACTTTTAAAGATTTGATTTGTTACCTAACATATCCTGAAAAATAATTCATGTGCAATTGAGAAGAACGTCTATTCTGCTGTTTTTGGGTGAAATGTTTTATATACGTGTGTTAGGTCTAATTGGTTGATAGTGTTTCTCAAGTCCTCTATTTCCTCACTAATCTTCTGTCTAGATGCTTCAGCCACTATTTAAAATGGCGTTTTGGATTCTCCAGCTATTACTTTAGAGATGTTTAATTCTTCCTTCAATTGTGTAAATTGCTTCATATATTTTGGGGCTCTGTTGTTAGGTGTACATTGGTTTATAGCTGTCATATCTTCTTGATGAATTGAGCTTTTCATCAATAAATAATATCCTTCTTTATCTCTTGTTACAGCTTTTGACTTAAAGTCAGCCCCCCACCCCTGATATTTGTATAACCACCTGAGTTCTCTTTTGGTTACTATTTGTATGGAACATTTTCATTCCAGTTTTTCACTTTCAATCTATTTATGTCTTAGGGTATAAAGTGCATCCCTTAAGACTAATATGATTGGATCATATTTTCTTATTCCTTCTTCCAATGTCTGCCTTTTCAGAGGAGAGTTTAAGTTTGTGTATAATTACTGATGATGAAGGAATTATTTTTGCCATTTTGCCATTTGTTTCCTGTGTGTCTTACACCATTTTTGACCCTCATTTTTTCCAATACTGCTTTTTTTTATGTATGGCAGATTTTTTATAGTGAACCATTTTGATTCTCTTCTTGTTTCCTTGTGTTTATAATTTTTAGATATTTTCTTTATAATTACTAGGACAGTTATATTTAACATTTTAACGATCTAGTTTGAATTGATATCCACTTAACTTTCACGGCAGTGAGTTTTTTTTTTCTTTTAACTTGAATTGAATATGAAAATTTTACAGCTTTGTCTACCCCCCCAATTCTGTAGTCACAAATTATATTTTTATACACTGTGTGCATAATAATGTAGATTAATAATTATTTTTTAAGCATTTTTAAAAAATCTTACAGGACATCAGAAGTGGAGTTACAAACCAAAAATAAATAATACTGTTTTTCATATTTGCCCACACAGTCGCCTTCATCAGAGATCTTTATTTCTTCATATGACTTTGAGTTATTTTCTAATGTCCTTTCACTTCATATTGAAGGAGTGACTTCAGCATTTCTTGTAGGGGAAAGTCTACTGGCAAAAAACTCCCTCAGCTTTTGTTTATCTGAGAATGTTGTAATTTCTTTCATTTTTATTTGAAATTGTAAACACTTTTTTCTGATTTGAGAATGTGGTTAAGATCTCTCTCAAGTAAAATTCCTATCTGATAGTCTTTTCTTTCAGCATTTTAAATATGTCATCATTATGGCTTTCCTGGTTTCTGATATCAGCTCTTAAATGGATTGAGATTCTTTTTATGTGATAAGTTACTTTTCTCTTGTTGCTTTCAAGATTCTATCCCTTCAAATTTAACAATTTGATTATAATATATCTCAGTGGGGAGATCTTTGGGTTTATCCTAGTTGGAGTTTTTCAGATTCTTGGATGTATAAATTCATGCCTTTCATAGAATTTGGGAATTTTTTGGCCATTGTTTATTCAAACATTCTTTCTGCAACATTTACTCTCTCTTCTCCTTCTGGAACTCTTGTAATATGTATTTGGCCCACTTGATGGTGCCCCATAGTTCCTTTGGCTCTGTTCACCTTTCATCATTCTTTTTCTTTCTGCTTCTCAAATTTGATAATTTCAATAGTCTTATTTTCAAGTTCTTTATATTTTTTTTCTTCTGCCAACTTAAGGATTCTTTTTAATCGCTCTAAGGATTTTTTCATTTAATTATTGTATGTTTTGCTTCAGAATGTGTGTTGGTCTCTTTTAATGTTTTCTACATATTTGTTGATATTCTTATTTTCCCCCCATACATTATTTTCTTGATTTCCTTTGTCCATGTTTTCCTTTGGCTATATTAGCAAATCTTAAACAGCTGTTTTAAATTCTTTTTCTAGTAAAACCAATATGTAGGCTTCTCATTGGATGGCTTTTGTCACTTTATTTTGTTCACTTGAATAGATTCTGTTCCTTTGTATGTCTTGTGACATTTTTCTTATTGTTCAAAACTAGACAGTAGATTATTATAATGTAGTAACTTTGAAAATTAGATTTTTCCTTTTTCTCAAGGTTTGTGGTGTTTTCCTAAAATTTTTAATTGTAATTTGGGTGAAAGTTCACAAAGTATATTTATTTTTCATTCAAAAGTTCATGTTGTTGTTGTTGTTATTTGCCATCCAGTCAGACCCGACTCATAGCAACCCCTCCTTGAGTTTCAAGGCAGTATCACTACGGAAGTAGATTGCCCCATCTTCCTTCTGAGGAGTGGGTGGTGGATTTGAACCGCCAGCCTTCTGGTTAGCAGTCAAGTACCTTAGGCACTAGTCTACCAGAGCTCCTTCATAAGTTCATACACATATTTTTTGTGGCATTGATTGCAATCCCCACAATGTAACAGGTCTCTTCCTACATCCTCCTTTGGGTAACTTTTCCCTGTGTCCTTCTTTTCTATGTATTCCTGCCTTCTGAGCAATATCCCTGAATAAATGCTGTTCTTTTGATCTCTTTTGGTTGATTGTTCTAAGGAGTGCTTACTTCCCTGGTATAACTGTTCACCTCATAGGCCTTTATATTGCTTGGCTGAAAGTTGAGCCTTGGGGATGACTTTAGATCCAGGCCCCAAAGATGGTTAAGGACCATAGCCTCAGGGGTTCCACCAGTCTCCATGAGAACAGTAAGCCTGGTCTGATTTTTTTTTGTGATTTTGAGCTTTGTTATACATTTTTCTCTCACTCTCCCAAAGATCTCCAATTTTGATCCCTTTCTGAGAGGTTTGAAGTGGGAGAAGCGTACCATCTAGTTCTGGTCTTGGGGTCTTGTAGGCTGAAGTTCTGATGGTCCACTATTCTCTTGGAAAAATTGTTTCCACGTTTCATTGATTTTCTTCATTATTCTTTTCTCCAATATGTATTTGTAATATGTATTTGGCCCACTTGATGGTGCCCCATAGTTCCTTTGGCTCTGTTCACCTTTCATCATTCTTTTTCTTTCTGCTTCTCAAATTTGATAATTTCAATAGTCTTATTTTCAAGTTCTTTATATATTTTTTTCTTCATATTGAATTTGTAAACACTTTTTTTTTGGGAGTGACCAATAGTTGCATCTTAGATGGCCATTTTCAAACTTTTAAGTTACAAGCTGCTGTTCATCAAAAGATGTGGAACAAGGTTTTTATGCTCTACATTTGGTGAATTGAGCTTAATGTTCCTTGTGACTATGCCTTGAGCCCACAGGCCCAATAACCTTTAAAGTGTTTCATTGTGGCTAAGAAGTTATCATAACCTTGCTCCCTGTTATCTCTATTGTATATAGGACATTTTTATAGCACATACAAACACGTGTGTAGAAAAATTTTGTAAAACATATATATTTTCATGGGTATGGTCCTGTTTTCCTACCCATACCTGATCTTGCATGTCTATCTATGTATCCATTCACAGAGTAATGTTTGCATTAATGTTACGTTAATATTTTCAATATTGTGTGTGTAATTGTATTTACCTTTATTATCTGTACCTCTTGTGCATCTTTCCAGGTCTTTTTCATTAGTGAAATTGTGCTGTTCACCCCCTCTTGGTTTGCTACCTTTCCCTTCACTAAAATAAATACATGACTCTTACCTAGCTAGCAATTGTGCCTCCCCTCCCAAATCCTCCCTGATAATCATCAAAGAATATTTATTTCCATGTGTAAATGTTTCCTTGACTTTTTATGATATGGACTCATGCAATATTTGTCCTTCTGTGATTGATTTGTTTCACACAGCATAATTTCCTCCAACCTAATCCATGTTCTGACATGTTTTGTGCATTCTTCATTATTCTTTAATGATACGTAGTATTCCATTGTGTGTTTGTACCACAGTTTGTTTATCCACTCCTCCACTAATGGGTACTTAGGTTGTTTCCATCACTTTGCTATTGTGAACATGGGTGTGCATATATCTGTTCATGAGCCAGGTCTCACTTCTTTAGAATACATACATAGTAGTAGGATTGATGGATCAAATGCTATTTCTATTTCCAACTTCTTATGGAGGTGTCACATAATTTTCCATATTGATTGCACCATTTCATAGTTCCACCCGCAGTATATGAAAGTTCCAATCTCCTCACAACCTCTCTAGCACTTGTTGTTTTCTATCCTGTTGAACTTTGCTGTTATTGTTTGGGTAAGATTATATCTCATCGTTGTTTTGATTTGCATATCTCTAATTACTGATGATTGTGAGTATTTTTTCAGCATCCTTAGTTGACCACCTGAATATCGTCTTTGGTGATTTTTTTATGGATTATTTGTCCTTTTGATATTGAGGTGTTGAAGTTTAGTATACATTTTAGAAGTAAATTTCTTGTCAGATATGTCATTGCCAAATATTTTCCCCCAATATGTAGATTCTCTTTTTACTGTTTTGAAGTAGAGGCCAGGCTCTAACAGACCAGTAAGACTGGTCTTTTTTTATGATTTTGAGTTTTGGTTCACGTTGTTCTTCCACTCTAATCAAAATCCCTTGCACTGATCCCTTTACAAGTGACTGATACTGGTAGCTGGGCCCCATCTAGTTCTTCTTGTCTCATGGTCATATAGGCTTCAGTTTCCATGGCCTTTTGGAGAAATTTTTTGATGTGAATAAAAATTTAAATTTTATGTCCTAACCATCTAATTTATCTTCTACTGTTTATGCATGTCTGGTTATGTTTGATAGTCTATTTATAAATTATAACTCTTATAATTGTCCCTATTTTTTCTTTGATGACCTTTATAGTTAGGTTTTATATTTAGATCTTTAATCCATCTTGAGTTAGTTTTTGTGCACGGTGTCAGGTATGGATCTTGTTCCATTTTTCTGTAAATGGATATCCAATTTTGCCAGCACCATTTCTTAAAAAAGACAATTTCTTCCTTATTTAATGGGTTTCCCTTTGTCAAAGATCAGCTTTTCTTACGTGGATGGATCTATTTCTCGATTCTCAATTCTCTTCCACTGGTCTATTTGTCTGTAGTTGCACCAATACTAGAATGTTTTGACTCTGGCTTTAATATTGGTCTGTAATTTCCCTTTTTAGTGATGTCTTTGCCAGTGACTGTATAGTAGGTTTTGTGATCAGAGTGTGTGAGAACTTCTGCTAATTCTCCCTCTTCTTTAGTTGTACTTTGCTTATCTTAGGTCTATTTCCTTTTCATATAAATCAGCCATTATCTTCTCCATGTTCTTAAAGAATGTAGATGGTATATGGTTGGTGTTGCATTGAATTTATAAATTACTTTGGGTAGTGTTGACATTTTCACAATGTTCAGTTTTAGTATCCATAAGAATAGCATGTTTTTCCATTTACATAAGTTTTTTTATAGTTTCATGTAATAGTATTTTGTAGTTTTCTTTTTATAGGTCTTTTGTGTTCCTGGTAAGATTTATTCCTAAATATTTTATCTTTTATGTAGCTATTATAAATGCTTTATTATTATTATTAATTTAGTGCCTTTTCAGAGCTCTCTTTGTTGATGAAGAGAAATCCATATTTTCATTTTGTATTCTGCCACTTTGGTAATTTTTTTTTTTTTTCTTATTGTGATTTGGGTGAAGATTTACAGAGCAAATTCACTTTCCATACAGTAGTTTACATATACTTTGTCTCATGACATTGACCACAGTTTACCACAATG